TTCAATATACCTGTACAAGCATCAGCACTAGTTAGAAAGCAGCTCCATGAGTATCACATCAAACTAAAATAATTCATGGACTAGGAAATAAATTAACCTTTTTTTTTTTTTAAATAACTATACAAGTTTAAGATGATAGTACTGTTCTTTGCCACCATAAATGCCAGCTAATCAGACATGCGACCGTCAAAAGATAAGAAAGCCTAGAAGCCTATAATTCTTATGGTCTCATATGAGTTCATAGATGCATACACAAGAGACATACACTAACAACAACAACAACAATAATAATAACAATAATAAATTCAGTCTTATATCTTATAAATCTAAGGTCGACTGTATGAAAGTTAAATAAAAAAAATCATGTTAGATCGTAATTTTGAATTTTTTTATCTTATTTATTTCTATAAAAAATAATTTTTTTATTTACTTATTTAACTCTTATATAATTTTTTATTATTTACATCCACACAAGGATTTAAATTACAGTTGTGATCACATCTTTGATTGTGTCGAGTTTATTACGATTATGATATAATAAATAAAATAGCGATAATCATGTTTATCTCGATCATGAATTTTTTTTTAAATTTTGCACAACTCATCATAGATGAAGTAAATAATATGATTAATCATGAACACTCGTATTTTATATTATTTAAAAATTTTAAGATATTTTTAATTATGTTTTTTATGTGATAAGATCAATTATTTAACATTTTTTTAGTATTATAGCTTAATAGTCAATATACTCATTTAAAAATTATTCAATAAGATATCTATAAATTTTACAAACATGAATAATATAACTAAATAGAATTAAAAAATAGCATCGTATGTGAAATTAATTGAAAAAATATAATAGATGAAAAATTTATTTTATCAATTAACAAATTAAATAAATAGTTAGTAACTTAACTTTAATTAAATAAAAAAATACAATTAAAAATAAAATTAACAAAATTTTAATGTAAAATTAATTATTTTTAAATAATACTTATACATATAAAATACTTATACAAATAAATTTACTAATTATCATCTTTCATTCTCTCTCAATTTCAATTTAAATAAAAAGTTTCTCAAATTCTTATTCTTCACCTAACTTTTACTTTCAAATTTTTATCTAAACAATAAAATAAAAAAACTAATTTTATTATTTTAAACACCGTCACGTGACCCAATATCTTTTGTGTCTTATCTACCTACTTCATTCCTCATGCCTCTTTCTTTCTTATCCATTTTCTTTGCATCCCTTTCAATTCTCTCATCTCATGATACATAGCAAACCACTTCATGTTACACCCATACCTTTTGCTTCAATTCTATCTTCAAATCTTGTCTCATCTCTATCAAGATTGAAATAAAGAAAGAACACATACCATTGGTATAGTTGAAACAGGTCACAGAATTTTTAAAAAAGCAACAAATTGTGAGAAAAAAAGATACTTTAAGTGAATATCTTGTTATTTCCTTAGATTAATTCATTCTTTTATTTGTAAATTGAAACATAAAGTTGTTGGTGATTGATTGTTGTGATTTGGGGTCGATTTTTTTCTTTTTTTTGGACTTTATAGTAGCTATAGCTATTCATTTTTGTATTTATTTTCTGTTGTGCCACTATTTATGGTTGCAAAAGACTGTTATGTATGTGAATCGATTCTTACACCTTAATAGTAGTAGATAACGATTTTCAGTGGGTGCTATTACCTCAAAATAACGACCACTATTTTTAAATCCATAAGTTTATTTTTCTTACCTTTTGTACAGATAGGTCTACGTTTCATCTGTTCAAACCATTTCAAACGACCCTCTCATCTTTTTCTCAATTCAAACTCCCCTAATTTTTTTCCAATCTTTTCAATTTTGATTTAGTCTTTTTTAGTTTTATCAGACATCTATCTAAGCATCTTCAACTATGCTCATTTTCTTTTTATGTTGTTTTTTAATAATCCAATGCTCAGTCCCATATAACAATACAAGTTTTACAGTTATTTTATGCAATTTTACCTTTAAGGCAGGTTATGATCACACAATATACTCAATGCATTTTACCACCTTATCCATCATATTTGAATCTTATGATTTACATCTCTTTAGATCCCAACATCACTCTAAATAATTGATCCAAGATATCGAAAACGATTACTTTTTGATACTAACTTATTATTTAACTTAAATGTATTAACACTCACTTTTCTATAATTATTAAACTTATATTTCATATATTCAATTTGAGATATACTCAATTTAAACTCTAGAGTTTAATTATTAAACTTACATAAGACACACACATGGATGAAAAAAAATTACCTTTGTAATTCTTTCATTCCTGTTGTGTAGGCAATTTTATAGGAAGAATCTGAGAGCTCTTTAATTCAATGGACACATTTTCATAATTTGCTTTAAGGAGAATCACACCAACCTCTTCCAACTGTGTTGATATAGGAAGTTCAAACATCAAGGGCAAAAAAATTAGTCTGTTTGGTGTTGGACACATTGGAAAGGCACCCCACTAAAAAATTCATGTCGAACATGAGCTTTACTTAGTCAATGTAAACCATAACAAGAACCAAGGAAAATAAATCATAACTTGTTCAGTCAGCTTCCAACGAAGTTGAAAGGAGCGAAAAAAAATCATAATCTATAAGTTAATCCTTAGTTTTAGTACCATTGTTTTTTTCCCGAGAAAACAGAATAAATTCATTTAATATCAAAGGGATGACCGTGGCAAAATCTTTCTCATGAGAAGGCTTCACAAAGTAACCAACTGTCACAGCATCGTTGCTTATTGCCTTAGGAAAATGAGGAAGATGTCAGGAAAGGCTGTTCTCTTTTGAGGAAACTAAGGAATGCTTATAAGTAAATTGATTTTGGGGGCAAATATTTACTCTAATTTGTGATTTTTGAGAGACACCGATGTTTATTATCTTTTATTCTACTCAAGTTTTATATGTTCTTCATGATTATCGTTATGACCTTTTTAAGTTTTGACGTGGTTGGCGAATACATTGATCCAAGGATTTGGCAGTGCATTAAGATTTTGCAAACGCATACAAGAGGAGATGCATAGAAAAGAGTCATCAGAAGGTGACCTTTTTATTTAAGTGGCAAATAATCAAAGGCAGATCTTCTAATTTGTCCGCATAAATCCTGTTTGATTTGTGGAGTGCACTGGTAACGACAGCATCTGAGGTGGAAGCGGAAACCAGTTTCAGGAAGCAGCATGAATTTGGGTCAAAAAGGAAGATCATCCGTCTTCGATGTGAGAGACATTGATATGCTCTAGTTGGTTTCTAGAAAAGTTGGTGTATACATATATTTATAGCAAAAGCTGAGGTAGCTTTCTTGATGATTGTAATTTATATGGGAATCAAAAAGATTAAACAGGGCTCGCCGAGGGCACTTGAGAAAAATGTACAAGTTATTTTGGGAGAGGCGTCGTGGTTAGCAAGGAGATACAAAATGGTGCCTGGGATATGAGCCCGAGCTTGGTCAATCTTACGTGGAGCAGTGTCCAGAGAAGATGCAGTCAATGGAAGGCGTTCAAAAGAGTGTAGCTCAGTCATGATAGAGATTGACATATGAAAAGCAAATGAATAAATAAATATATTCTATAATTCCGATGATGATGATGATGATAATAATGATGTTAAGCACAAAGTGATAATTCATCATATTAAGAAAAAATTTACTACTCTTATTAATAGCAGACAATCAGAAATCATGAAAGAAAAATTGAAGTTCATAAGCCGATAAAGAAAAAAGTAGGAAAAGAAGCAATATCGTCGTCTTTTATCCTACTTAAGTGTTCAGCTGAAAGAGGCAACCCGTAGGAAATAGCCTGCTGTAGCAAAGGAGAGTGGTGGAGAATGGGGATAAAATTAAAAAAAAAAAAAGAACAGACAAAGTAAAATAAAAAAAAGGATGCTAGTAGCATTTATCTATCCTTTTTTACCGTATGGATGTTGGAAAATCGGAGCTTGTGGAGGAGGAAGAGGATTGAGTTGCTCTTGTTTGGCTGTCTGATTCCATATTGAAGCAGCGCGTGGGAGACTATCACTCCCCTCGTAGCTCCACCCACCACCCATTAGCTTTAGAATTAAACTTATAATTAAAATAGTTAATTAAGATTCGTACCAAAGAACAGTACTTCCACCAAGTCGCCTCGGCCCTCAAGATCTTCTTCACCACTTAACCATGTCCATACTCCATAAGGATATGATATCTCAACTTTTTATTTTAGATTCGTCAGTTTTGTTGCTAAATTTGTTTAGAAATCAACTTTACAAATGCTATTTCTTTCCCATTTCTTTTTAAAGAAATAGAGAAAAAAAAGTATTTGCATGGAGTATGCTCTTCATTTGTTGTTGTTGTTGTTTTTTTTTTTTTTTTTTCATACGTGTTATCATAAGAAGATTGAAGTAAGAGTTGCATACTTGATTTCTCGAGGTAAAAATTACAAAAAGGAAAATGACCAAATTGAAAAATTAATTGAATGAAATGAATTCAATTAATTTTTTTATTAAACAAATAATAAAATATATTAAGTTAAATTATATTTTAAATTTTAAATATTTTATATGTAAAATAAATTAAATAAAATCATCCAATAACAATATTAAAATACCTAAATATTAAATTAAAACTTTAATAACTTAAAATAACATAAAAAATTTCTTATATTTTATTATATTTTGATTAAAATTTCAATTAATTAAGTTTTCAAATCAAATTAATCGAACATACAAATTTTTCTAAAATAATTTTTGATAATCAATTAAAATTAATTCAATGATAGATTAATTCAATCAATAAATTCAACTAAAACCAAATTTTAAACATTCCTAAACATTAGTCTAGGAGTATTATTATCATTTCATTCCGGAAGACAAGCCAAAGGCAAGACCTTGACAGTTGTTTACTTGTTCTGACAATGAATGATGCGGATAAAAATCTTCTCCTAGTTACATTACCAACCGAAAAACAAATGATAAGCATTACTTGAAAATGAAGCCATTAGCCTTTTATTGATGTATGGAATAACAACAGCATATATTCCATTAGACAAATCACTGACACAGCTTTACGTTTTAAAAAGTCATTCACATGGGTCACACCCATTTCTTTGGAGCTATATCTAGCCAAGTGATACACAACCCTTCTCATCATCAGCTTCACAAACTACTAGTCCATCAGCCTCTCCATAACCAATTTGACAACAGCAGGAGCATCAACTGTGACCGCCACCTTCACCATTGGTTGATCAGACCACTCGGTAATTTCAGCAAACCTGGTCAAATGCATCACTCAGTAAGGAACACCACAGAGTCGGTACATCATCACATAACTTGAACAGTAGAAATCATCACAGAATTTGAACAGTACAACTCTACGTGTATGCATTATATCCTAATTATCTCCAATCCATGAAAACCACAAGCATACATTCTGGTAAGAACATAAATGCAAACAACAGGATTTGATATCGACTCATATATCGTCTGTCAGGGCCGCACCTATGATGCTGTAAAGGTTACTCTTCTTTCTCTGCACTGCAGTCAAGCACTGCTCAAATAGGCTTTCTTAAGTTACTCAAAGGAGTCAGTCTCCCTCATTTAAAATAATTGTTAACTGTTTTATTCTCCTCCATTAGCCACTGCAATTAAAGATTCCACTAACTCACTGTCCCAATTAGCATACTTTGACTTTAAATTTAGATAAAGATGCCTTCAACTTAGCCATCAAAATGCAACACAAATCAAATCAAACCAAATCATATCCGTCTCCTCTGGTTCCAATAATTAGACTGTTGCTCAAAAACGACAAAAAATCTAACCTCTTCTTCTTGTTGTATAATATTGTTAGTCCTCTTGTGATGCCAGTTGTTTGAACTCTCACAGCACCCTCCATGTGAGTGATAAGTGATGGATTAATCGCTGCAAGCATGGCTGTTGGATCATGAAGGTACACACCTGCAGAATGGTTGTACATAAATCAAAGGGTCATTGTTCTGCTAAAACCCCTGAATTGCATAAACATTTCCAACACACAAACCTTTTGTGCCGTATGCATCATGATGATAACTGAAGTATACCCCTAAAATCTTGCACAAGTACTGAGCAAATTTTCCCGTTGAACTAGCCAATTTGTCTCGGTCAGCATCTAAAATATGTCAAATTTGATCAAACCAGAAGCAAAATGAAAAATAGAATAAAAAAATGGAAGGAAAAAGTTCCATAAAACTAGAAATAAAAGGTGCCCATACGGATCTATTAGTTAATAAAATGATCCTCTCTAACAAAATGTAGTCAAATAACAACAAATTGCCAAAACGAGTACCAGTCAAAACAACTTGATGAGTAACATTTATCCCCACGGCCAACACATCTGCACCACTAGTGAACACAATATCTGCAGCATCTGGGTCGCCAAAGATCTGGTCATTCAATTACGAGGTTGGAACAAGATGTGTAAGAGAGAGTGTTTGCAGTCATGACACTAGCATACAAAAAGATTGATGTGTCAAAAGTTGGAATAAAAAGTTTATTTTCAGAGTTTTTCATTTTCCTGAACGCCACCTTCAACTGTTGAAATCATATGCATACCTAACATCTAATGAAGTCAAAGTTATATTGGTTAGAAAGAACTCGAAAAGGCTAATAAGTGCATATTATTCTTCCCACAGATGCTACCATCTGCAAGTTGAAAGGTTAGAACTTAAAATTTACTTTCCATAAACTTTAGTCTGATAAATTGAATTATTGGAGAGAGAAAAATAGATGCCAAAGCAATGAGAAAGTTACATTGGCCTCTGCTGCTGGATTCACATTGCCATTTACTGCAAAAGCACCACCAAGAAGAACAATTTGCCCGATGTTTTTAGCAAATGATGGATCTAGTTCAATAGCCTGCTCAAAATAGAATCTACTATGGAATATTATGGATGTCATTTACAAAGAAAAGCATGCCACAATTATAGCAAATGATCAAGAATCAGACCAGTGCAATATTTGTTAGGGGACCCAATGCCACCACAGTGACCTTCCCAGGATAACGGTTTGCTTGCTCAACAAGAAAAGCGGAAGCTGACATGTCAATAGGCTTTCCCTTTGGTGGAGGGAAATTTTGGTTCCCAAGTCCATCCGCACCATGGACAAAATCAGCAATACGGAGTTTTGTACCTTTCTAGTTGTAAAGCTATTCATCAGTTCAAATAGAATAATACTACCACACATTGCAGAAGTAATTGAAACATAGCTAATATATGTACAGCAAAAGAGGAATGGCATCCAGCAAGTCAATTCAAAGAGGATTTATAAAAAATACCACATCCATTTGTATGGAAACTAACCTTTAAATTCAGAAAAGCTTTATTCCCTATGTGCATAGAGCTAAAGAAACAACACAGTAACTGGAGAAAACCCCAGCCATGAATTTAATTGATATTACCCCTTTTGAACAAATATATTTTGAAACTTGATTTTCTTTATCAATATTTGTTTAAGAGAATTTAAATCCTGAAGATGATGATTTAGTTTTAATTTGTTGAAGGAATAAGTTTAACAAATTGTTAGTACATGCAACTATGATATTGGCTCTATCAAGACTTCCGTCATCTAATTTAAAGTAGTCAAGAAGTGTTAAATTGGATAAGTACATTCAGACACACAGAAAGAACATCAGGGCATGGACTATTTTTATCTCTGCTAAACACTTGCAATGCAAAGAGAAGAAAAGTTCTACAAAATATAAATGTGAATAAAAATGTTTCAATGTTCATGCTTTCCTTATCCTAGCTTGCAGGTTACTCAAACAAAGAGAAGGTCAATGATGATGAATTAACAACTAAAATATTAATCGACCATGAAAATTAGGGGATTGCAAGGTATGAAAGGTGAATAAATAAAAGACAGAAATTTGGAGAGGCATTAAGGAATAAGAGCACATACAGTGATAGTAACATGGGATCCTTCCGCCACAGGGATATCAGTCCTGCCTGCAACCTCTAACTAGTAGACAAGCACTCAAGCAGAGCAATCCTCATCAAATCAATGCCAACTAATTTTGGAAGAAAGAAAAATCAAAGTAAAAAGAATGATAGGATACCAAATGCAAGGCGTTTCTAGTGGCCAAAGTGGTGTAGACATTGCCGTAAATAGTAGTAAGGCCGATGACCTCCACTTCTGGAGACCTGAGTGCCAGAAATATTGCCATGGCATCATCTGCATGTATCCGCTCAAATCACAAAAGTGAAGATCGTCATAAAGCAATCCCAGCAACATTTTAAATAACAATAAAGAAAGGATATACTAAAACAGTAGAAGCAGATCCAGAGATACTATTCAGAAAATCTAAAGATATACCAGAAAAGATCATTTAATTTGTAAGAGTTCTAATTCTAAACAAGACTGATAGGACATGGTTACCAATGCCGGGATCAGTGTCTATGATGATCTTCTTTGCTTCTGTTGCTGCCATTGGCTTCTGTAGTTCAACTCTCGAATTGATGTTTGCTGCAAAAAGATTTTAAGCAAATTATTAAACATCTCAGAGAAAAGTTTATAACTTTCTTTTATTTTCTGGAGTCTGCCCAGAAAAACTAAAGGGGAAAAAAGAAGAAGAAAACAAAGAAACCATGAGCATCAAAATCAAAATATTTTGCTTCACTAAACAGCTTTTTGTTTTTGAAAAAAGAAAAATCTTCGATTACTCCAAGTAATCGAAAAATGAATGTACAAAATCACACCAAGAAATCAATTTTTTCCGAAAATTTCAAAAGAAAATAAAGAGTTGAAAAACATAAGCAGAGAGGCATTTTAATGAAAAACTGGAATTACATTCGACGAGGTTGAAGCAAGACTGCAATTGGCCTCAATTATGAAAAAGAAAAATAAGGGAAAGCGGTAAAGGAGTGACAAGTTGCAGGAATCGCAATTACATTATAAATATTGACAGCAGAATTCCTAGATTAAGATTTTTAATCAAACTGAAATTACTAACTTAATTAAAAAAAAAAAAAAGGAAAATTGAGAGAAAGAAAGAGAGAACAAACTTCAGAAGCATAAGAAAACAGTGACGCTCGAGAGAGAGGGATGAAAGTGTAGGCAATTTCAGAAATTAATTCCATACCCAGTTGAGTTCAGGGCTCAGAAAAGAACTAAACGAGTGGCAATTTAAGAAATTAAGTACAAAAGTGGGGGGCCAATTGTAGGCAAGTCTAACTCCCGTTTCAGCCTCACCTCCGTTGGTTTTCAAATCAAATCATCAGAAGATAGATCTCAGTTCTCAGACAAGCGCAAGTCTTTTCTTCTCCTTTGTAGAAGTTTTCCTTTTGCCTTTCACTCTTTCTTTTTGGCCAGACGCTATACTTTGGACAAGTTTGTCCCTAGTTCTTACACCTCTCACTTCTTACTTCTTACTTCTTACTTCTTACGTACACGAAAGTTATATTGTTGTCAAAATGAGCAGATCCTCCTCCTTATCATCGAAGACCCATAAGCATAAGAAATGGTCTGAGTCTGAGGTTCCCAAGACGAGGGAGTTGAGGAAAAGGAATGAGAAGTTCGGGTCTAGAAGAGCAATCCAACTTGTCAAATATACCATCACTAGCAGCAACACCCATCTTTCCTCCTCTTCTTCTTCTTTTGGTTCCATTGAAGCACCAAGGTTCTTTCTTTCTCACTCTTCTTCTTCTTCTCTGAATCGCAATGTTCCCGCAATCACAACAGCCCATTTCATCTCCAAAATCTCCAAATCCGCCCCTATTTCACGCCTCCCTCACTCTAAACCCTTCCGATTCATCAAAGAAAATTCTTCGTCCAAACCCATTTCCCACAAACTAAACAGAATTAAGAAATCTCAGTCTTCGAAAAAACCCAATTCGGAAACTCCTGCTTCTTTGGATTCAAATAATACCGCTCCTGTAAATGAGTCGCTTTCTGCGTCTCAAGACCTTTTGCAGCTGCATAAGGAGGAGCTCCAATGCACTCCTGTGGCTGTGAGCAAGATTGCAACTTGTTCCGCTTTGGATTGTCTAGTTGCTGTTATTGGTAATCATAAGAATAGGTTTATCGATGATGACAAATCAAACACTAACTCTAGTAACACTATAACCCCACCCATTCAGGCTTCATTTTCTCCAGAGATCCAATCTACCATACCCACAGCAACCACTCCTGCTTGTTAATGGTGCTGTTCATCTCATTTCTGGGGTTACTGACAGGAGAAAATGTAGGGCTAGAGGTGTTCTGGTAGCTTTATCAGGACCAACTGATAATGATATGTCAAGTTATAATTTTAATTCTAACCATGTTGACTGTGACGAGAATTACACTACAGGACTCGTTAACAGGTCCTGTGTTTTCATGCTTCCTTCACCTGCATCGGCTTCACTGCATCGGCTTTTGTCTCCATGTCATGTGGATGAGAAGGAAAATTCTGCTCCTTTGAACAGCTTGCTCGTACATAAAACAATTCCTTCTCCTTCCTCGCCTTTATCTGATGATGGCTTTTCTTTCGATTTGTGTAACTTGAGCAATAACAGAAGTGATGCTACTAATAGCAGCACTGGGAAGAGCCAAAGCAACACAAATAATATGCTGATTTCCACTCAACTCCCTCAGTTTCAAGTACGAATGGAGTCTTTACGTGATTATGCTCTTGTTTCATCTTCTCCAAATGCCACACCTTATTCCAGAGCTGTTCCCTTGAAAGAAGAGGCAAAACATTCCTACAATATTGATGGAGGAAACGCTTCATTCTCTGCAGATATATTAGGGAGTGGAAATGTTATGCAAACCCCAAATTCTGACTCTAGCTTGCAAAGACGTGTTGGGCTTTCACTTTCAAGTGCAAAGGATCACAGGAGACATCACTTTCATTCTGAGCTACATTCTGGCTGGAGATCTTTGGACAGCAAGCATGTCCCCCAAAAGCCAAGTAGCAATATGGGATACAACCAGTCCTAGTTTTCAGTTCGATGGTTTGACTACACCTTCCAATTCCATGGATCTTTCTCCGTTTCAGAAATTTTTGGATGATAAGTTAGTGGACCTCGAATTCTACTTTAAAGAATGGGTCACAATCACAGATGAGAATATCCTGGAGGGAAGGATTAGTAAGTCGGCTTTTTGAGATGGATGAGTTTGATAGCTGCAGATGTCTATCAGATGAAGAGGAAGACTTAAATATCAATAGCAGTGACCCATTCAGATCCAGCCAATATCTTGAGATTAATGTTGATGTAGGGAATGTTCCAACTTTAACTAATGCTTATGGGTCTACTGAATTTTTAGATGGTGAAAGCAAAGAAAAGCTTCATTCTCCGGTACAATGTTCATATGCAGAGTTCATTAGCACTGATGGAGGTGATTTGGCTCGTTCAGAGGATTCAGATTGGAATCTTTGCTGTAAGAACAATTTGTTTGAAGTATAGTTCATGATCGAATTCCTTAATTCCGCTTGAGTCTGCCAAACCTTTGGCAGAAGGTGGTTTACTTGGCAGTGATTGAACCAGGCAAGGGCAACTCTTGTATTTTATGTGTTTGTTAGTTTTCTTTCAATTTCCCCTGTTTAATATTCTTCATTTAGGAAACTTTACTCTTCACTATGGTATATGGAACTCGACAAACTTTTATATGTTGGTACTTATAGTGAATGCTTTATGCCTCTGACTTAATCTTGTTAGTTTAGTTACTTATTTGAGGGGAATGTGGCAGTCACTATTGAATCCAGACTTTTCTACTTGATGAAAACATGAAAGATGCCTAAGGTTATGGTGTTACTGATTCTATGACCAGAGCTAATATGGAAACTGCACAACTTACTCAAACTGCTGCCAAATTATATGCAATCTAGAAGAAGCTACAATGGAGTAGCAGGCATATTCTATCGTTTCATGATGATGGATAAGATACAAAAATTCGTAAAAAGTTCAGAAGTACAAAAGAGAAATGGACTAGGCACACAAATTGTTGACTAAGGAAGAATGGGCAAAACATATTGGAGGACACCGATTGGAGGTCACTGGTGCGGTTGCGAGAGCTGATCCAGTCGGTAGTTAGCATATGGTATTTTAAAATTCAGGGTAAACAATCTAAAAGTTTTACAACTAACTAATAGTACAATTTTGATTATGGAAAATAATTATCTAACTAATATAATTGTCTTTCACGATCCTTCGATGGAAGTGATATGAAATTAGTTAAAAGGATCCAACATATTTTAACCAAAATTTGAACCCTACATGCATAACCTTGTTTAGTATTGCGTTTGGGTTTCAAAACCCAACTTTTGAACTCAAAACCATGATATTATTTGTGTTAAAAGAATTTTTTTACGGTTAAAAGCCAACTGCAAAATTTAATTAGTAGGTGCAGTCGTTGTTTGGAATTTATGGTTTGAAAACAAAAGAATCAAATGCTCTTTCAAACTTATTTTTTTCTTTCTAACATTACGTTCTTTTTAAATATTTTAATTTTTCACAAAAATTTTTTACGGTAATGTCAAATATTTAAAAATCTTAAACCATAGTTGTTCACAGCAATTTTTCACTGCACTTTTCAAATGCCTTTATTTTAAATAAAAAATTTTCCAACCCTAACGACAAAGTTAATCTAAGCAAAAGTGATTCGAAAACTAATAGTAGTACTACATTTTTTTAACCAAAAGTTGAACCTTACATCATGCATTACTATATTAAAGGATCCAACAATTAAAAAAAAGAGGGTATTGAAATTGAAGTGATAGCAATTACCAATGAGGAAACATGTGCAGGTGCCATTTAATACCGAATAGATGGTGCTGCATCTGCAAAGAGTTTTAACAATTACTAATACGTGGCAAATTGATGAATTATGAATACTATACGTGCAAGAGAGGAAAGAGGTTATTCTTGTAATGAATCTATGATGAGAGAAAGAATTCAGCAGCTGTTAAAATTCTATTTTCTTATTAGTCCATTGTAAATAGTTGTTAGTTATGGAAATGCGTGGCATATAGTTTTAAATTAGATAGAGAATGTAATGATGGTATTTATAATGGAAATGAATATTTTCTAAATCCTCTCTTTCCTAGTTAATTTCTGATCTTTTCTCATTATTTTCTACTGGTTGCAATTCGTTTAAACATCCGTTATTCCTTCCATTCCCAATCTGTTACATATTTTGGTATCAGAGATAGCAAAATCTAATCAATCTGGGTAAGAATCATAAATTTACTGTCATGGCTGAAGGAACCAGACTGAACACCATACATGAGCAAATCCAAGCTTTGCAGGATAAGTTGGATGCCTCTAACCAAACCATTCCCAGGTGGTGGGAAGAGCAGAGGAATGGTCTTGGAACCAAGATAGATGAACGTTTTGGCAAATACTGGAGTTGTTGAATCCAAAAAGAGTTAACTAACCGGAGACAAGGGGATAATCAACTGTTAGCCTACTCCAGGCTTTCAGTCTAGGAGGGAAGGGAAGAGTCTTGTTGAAGTCACCATAGTCAATGATCAAGGTAATTATTCTTGTAGATCTTATGAACCTGGATTATTGACAAAATCACAACATGATAACCTGGATTAAAATTTGGTGAGTTTAGTTCTGGAAATAATTCTTCATCCTTGAATGCCTTTGCCCTTCGACCAAAAATTGAACTACCAGTTTTTGATGGGTCTAATTTGAGAGAGTGGCTTAAGAAATGTCAAAAGTATTTTGCTGTATTTTCCATTGAGGATCATCAGAAATTGGAGTTGGTAACAATGTACTTAACAGGGAAGGCTCAGATCTGGTTTGATAGGTACACCATGTAGAAGGGAGAGTACCTTGGCTGGATTTCACTGTTGGCCTGTGTTAGAGGTTATGCCATAGGACTTGTATGGATGTGATCAAGGAATTTAATAAGCTCTCTTAAAAGGACCATTTTAGAGGAGTACCAAGAGACGTTTGGGGAACTTAAGCCTTATATGTTACAATATAATCCATCCTTAGCCGAAGCGTATTTTGTATCCAGTTTTACTAGTGGATTGAAGGAGGATTTGAAGCCCAAGATGAAAGCTAATGAACTAGATAACCTGATTGCTGCATACAGACAGGCAAAGTTGCATGAATTATCCCTAGATTTTGAGGCCAAAAGACTCAAATAGCTATTAGACCCAACTTTACCATAAACATTTAAAAAACCTTTAAGGACATCAAAACCTACACCAAGTCATTTACCAAAAACCAATAGACCAAGCTTCATCGAGCAAAGGAAAGCCCAGAATCTGTACTTTAGATATGATGACAGATTTTTCCTTGATCATACGTACAAAAGCAAACAACTTAATGTCATTATAGCGGATGAAAAACCTGATAGGGTGGAGGAAACTGGGAATAAGATCAGTGACAGTGGACACATGGGAAGTAAGGAGCAAGTTAATGCTGAAGATGGATTGAAGACTTCTACTAATGCACTAACTGGCAATGCTAGCCATAATACTCTCAAAATCTAGAATAGTGTCAAAGGAAAGCCTTTCCATATGCTCATTGACAGAGGAAGCACGCATAGCTTTGTAACACCTTGGTGGGCCAAAGATGGAGTGGAGTTAGTACATAAAAACCCCTCAGCAATAACAGTGGCCAATGATGAGAAATTATTTAGCACTGCAAAGTGCAGGCAGCTAGAGTGGTGTATGTAAAGCCACTAGTTCACTCATGGTTTAAAGGTTTTGTCCATGGGAAGAAATGATATGATATTAGGTGTGGACTAGATGAGGTTTCGTCCAATAACCCTTGAATTTAAAAACCTATCAGTTTCTTTCTAAAAGGATCGCTAGCAAATCATTTTCAATGCTGGACGACCTCAAGCAACACTTAAAATTATCACTTGTGAAAAGCTACAAAAATTGGCTGACAAGATCCTGAGATCATTGGGGAGCTGTGTATGAACAGTATAGAGACTGAAGGGTCAAAAGTAAAGTGGAATTGCATGGTTCACTAGATGCATATAGAGATACATTCGAAGAGCCTAAGGGGTTGCCCCTAAGAGAATACATGATCATTCTATTGTTTTGAAGGTTAGAGCTTAACCAGTAAATTTGAGGCCATATAAGTTACTTTGTTTCCAAAAGACTAAAGTGGAAAAACATGTGTCTAACATGTTGGCTGTTTCTATTATGCACACTAGTACCAGTCCCTTTGCATCTCCCTTTTTATTAGTTAAGAAAAAAATGGTACTTGGAGACTTTGCATTAACCATAGGCAATTGAATGCCATCACCGTGAAGAACAAATTTCTTATACCGGCGGTGGAGGATTTAATGGACGAGTGAATGGGTCAACTATCTTTTCTAAGATAGATTTAAGATCTGGTTACTGGCAAATAAGGGTCAAGGAAGGAAATATTCCCAAAATAGCCTTTAGAACTCATCAAGGCCATTATGATTTCAAGGTTATTCCCTTTGGCCTAACAAATGCTCCAACTACTTTCCAATCATTGATGAATGAAGTGTTTTTTCCATACTTGAAAGAGTTTGTGCATGTTTTCTTTGATGATGTTTTGGTTTATAGTCTGGGAATAAAAGAACACTTTGAGCACTTGCAGGCTGTTTTTGAAATTCTAAGGAGGCATCAATTACTTGCTAAGAAAGCAAATGGTTTTTTGGCTAGAAGCAAGTAGAGTATTTAGGCCACATTATTTCTGCTGATGGAGTTTCAATAGATCCTTCTAAGGTAGAGGTATGTTAAATTAGAAGAAGCCTAACACCTTGAAGTCTCTGAGAGCATTCTTGGGGTTGAATCACAACATGATAACCTTTAGAACTTAAGCCTTATATGTTACAATATAATCCATCCTTACCCGAGGCGCATTTTGTAACCAGTTTTATAGTGGATTGAAGGAGGATTTGAAGCCGAAGATGAAAGCTAATGAACTAGATAACCTGATTGCTGCATACAGACAGCCAAAGTTACATGAATTATCCCTTGATTTTGAGGCCAAATG